CTAATGTGAGAGGACTTCAGGACGAGACCTGAGACCAGGACTAATGTAAGAGGACTTCAGGACGAGACCTGAGACCAGGACTAATGTAAGAGGACTTCAGGACTGAGACCTGAGACCAGGACTAATGTAAGAGGACTTCAGGACTGAGACCTGAGACCAGGACTAATGTGAGAGGACTTCAGGACTGAGACCTGAGACCAGGACTAATGTGAGAGGACTTCAGGACGAGACCTGAGACCAGGACTAATGTAAGAGGACTTCAGGACTGAGACCTGAGACCAGGACTAATGTGAGAGGACTTCAGGACTGAGACCTGAGACCAGGACTAAAGTGAGAGGACTTCAGGACAGAGACTTGAGACCAGGACTAATGTGAGAGGACTTCAGGACAGAGACCTGAGACCAGGACTAATGTGAGAGGACTTCAGGACGAGACCTGAGACCAGGACTAATGTGAGAGGACTTCAGGACGAGACCTGAGACCAGGACTAATGTGAGAGGACTTCAGGACAGAGACTTGAGACCAGGACTAATGTGAGAGGACTTCAGGACAGAGACCTGAGACCAGGACTAATGTGAGAGGACTTCAGGACGAGACCTGAAACCAGGACTAATGAGAGAGGACTTCAGGACGAGACCTGAGACCAGGACTAACATGAACCTTAAAGATACAGCATCAATAAAGTGGAGATTTGTGTGTGTCTCCCTGATCTGAATGTGATGTCACATAAACCAGATGTTCCTGGAGGACTTTTCGTCATCGCTGTCAATATTTACTGCTGCTTCTTTAACTCAGTTTCACACGATGAAGACACAGAACTGGACTCAGACAAACAAAGAATAGTTTCTGACTGGAAGAAAAACAGGTGAGAACTGTCTCTGATGATGTTCATGATGAAGTCAGGATCCAAAACTGAAAGGTCACAGATCTACTTCTACACTTTATTTATTTGTTTATGTATTTACCTGGATCCCCCTTTGCTTCCACACGCGCCGCCAGCCTCCATGTGGTCCACTCCACACAGGATCCACGACATTTCACACACACAGACTAAAAAGTGTGTTCAAAACCAAATGTGCTTTACTGCACTGGCTCTACACCTTCTGATGCCCTCGAACAACTGCACGTGGCTTTCGATGCTCTTCAGAAATACTTGTATTACTATATTTCAAACTTGTTCTGAATACAGAGAAAACAAAAATCGTGTCGTTCTCAAACAGCAAAAGCCAAATAAGCTCATCTCACATCACCACAGGCTTGGCTATTGAGCGGGTCTCAACGTACCCATATCTGGGCTTTTTAATTGAGGAGTGCCTTTCTTTTGCACCACATATTGAGCGGTTGGCAAGAAAACTAAAAACGAAATTGGACTTCTTTTTCAGGATTAAATCTTGCATCTTTTCAAGCAAGGCGAAAACTTGTGTCTACCTTTTTGCCTATATTGGATTATGTTATGTGTGCATGCCTTATCACAGGCCTTGCATGCAGTGGAACCTGTGTGCCACGGAGCTCTTAGATTTGTGACCGACCTAAACTCATCATTGTGTGCTCTATGAGAGAGTTGGTTGGAACTCTTTGTTGTTGCGCAGACTGAAGCATTGGCACCTTATCATAGACAAGGCCATGTTAGGTCTGCTGCCTCAGTATCAGGCTGACGACCGAGTACCCAGGAGACCTCAGGTCATAGGCTCCATAACCTGAGGTCACAGAGCGTCCTGATGCTGTCCATCCCCAGAGTTAGGACGGAACTGGGAAAAAAGGTTTTCTGTTTTGCAGCACTGTTATGTAGCCTTCTGTGTTTTATTTCTTATATTATTATGCCTATTCTTTTGTTACTTTTAAAACTTGTTTGCGCCAAGAGGCGAAGCAATTTTCTAGTTTATAACCTCCTGTTACTCACATGGTAATCAAAACAACTCAGATTCTTTTTTTGATTAAAATCATAAATAAGAGTGAATTCCAGGCCTCTAACCCCGTGTGTATACTAGGCTACGGTTTCATATGTCACAACGGCGACCACAGCTCCTGACAGAGTGACACATTTCACTATGGAGACTACATTATAACACTTCTGGAGGTCCTCATTCCACAGATGGAAGTTAAAATCAATCTTTAGTGAATCGTATGAAAAGATTCAAGTTCATGGATCAGCGAGCGCTATTTCAATAAATGATAAATGTTGTGTAATTTTGTGTTTCTCTGTTTGAATGGAGGCCAGAGAAGGAGAAGCATCTCCTTTGATGAATTATGTCTCTGTGATTTATGTGCTGTTCCTGGGTTGCATTCTTCTTTGGCTTTGAGACAGCTCCAGGTTTTGGTCACGTGACTGAACAACTTTTTAATGATGTTTTTGATGCTACCTGAGTTACTTTGTCACAGGTCAATAACAACAAGAAGGAACGACCTGGAGGGGAAAGGAAGGAGGTTTTTCATGAATTTGGAAGCAGCCATTTTCTGTGTTTTCTTTTCTTCTCTAAAGCTGGGATGCGGATGGTTCTAGAACACTCGCTCAATTCCTTTGGAGCCGTCAGGAAGAGCTCAGGACGTGTTGATAACAGTAAGTTTCAAAATAGAGGAACGGCAGAAGCGCAGACAATCAGAAAGGGAGCAAGGAGGAGCCGGATCAGGTGAGAAGGAGAAGCAGAAGAGGAGGAAGAGAGCAGAATAGGAAGTGCAGAGGAGGGATCAGCTGAGGAAGAGGAGGAGGAGGAGGATCAGCAAAGGAGAAGAAGCAGAGGAGGGGGTGGAAGAGTAGAGGAGGAGGATCAGCTAAGGTGAAGGAGCAGAGGAGAAGGATCAGCTGTTTAGCGGTGGAGGAGTAGAGGACGTGGATCAAGCGGAGGAAGGGGGTGAGCAGAGGAAGAGGGGGAGGAGAAGAGGAGGAGGAGAAAGAAGAGGAGCATCAGCTGACGTGGAAAAGCAAAAGAGGAGCATCTGAGGAAGAGGAGCAGAGGAGGAGAAAGAAGAGGAGTAACATATACAGTAGCATCTTCTTACCTCTCGAAAACACCTTCACAGGATGGTCCAAAAGTTGGCTCTTGGCCCAAAGCTCCGGTCCATGAATCTTCGTTAAATGAATGGGGCTCGTGCAGCTGACGCATGCTCAGATGCTTTTTTTCACATTTTCCAGCCCCCGCGGCCATTTTGAATCACTCCATGAAAGCCCAATTTTTGGCCCATTAGTTAGAACGGCGGAGATAGGCGTGACTACGTCCGTTAATATATACAGGTTATGTCTTTGACTACCTGCCCGACCCAGAAATGGATAAAGGGGAAGAAGATGGATGGGTGACTAGTGAGATACTGTGAGCACTAAGAACAAAAGAACTCCGGCATAAATCTGCAGCATCACTTTAACAATAGATTCTTCTGTTTACACTGAAACAAAAGAGGATTTATTACACACTGAATGTCGGTGTAAAATCCTGCTGCAGTTTGAATGAAATAAAACCAAATATTTAAAGGCTGCTGTGGTTTGGTCCTTTGTCTGTTTGTGGCAGATGCTGAGCTGGAGTCGGTCCTGATGCTGAGCCGGCCATGACTCAGAGATGCTCGGTGTGATGAGACTTTTAAAAATGTGTTTGTTCTTTTGGCCGCGCCGCTCACAGATCGATTCAATAGGTTTTTAACAACCTCCAAATACAAAACAGGTCAGCCACGGCAGAGACAGAACGTCATTCTTTAAGGTCAGATCTTAAAGATTTCACCAAAAAGAATGACACAGGACTGTTTTACTGTAATAGTTATCTCCGCACACTCTGTTTAGTTTTACATATCACACTGATGGCCATCAGGACCTCAGGACAAAGCAACAGCTCCCCCTACAGGTCCTCAATGTGTACTGCAGGAGGAATGTCAAAGGAATTATATATGAAGGAAATCCATGTCTCTCGTTCCTGGCTCTAAAACAGTTTTCTCTAACACTAATGTGCATGTTTGAGGTCTCTGTCACATCTTTAGATCAGCTTTTTCTCTGAGCTCTGTGTTTGTTCCAATGTCTTTTAATTTAAATTCAATAAAAATACACAAAGCATCAAATCAAACATGTTTAATCACAGGCTGTACCCACACATACAGTGATGGAGGAAAAAAAAGAATCAATTCTCTTTTAAACGCTCTATAAACCTCTGAATAAATACATGAGCTGGATCCAACTAGATTCTACACACACACACACACACACGTGCAGACACAGACACAAACACAAGAGTCAGGACATGATTAACTTGTGTAAAATTTCAATAATACATAAACATCTTTCAGTGGAAACTCTAAGATTCTTCCTCATTTTTATTGCTGCATCATTGAGTTGGTTTGTTGGTTCTGTGACTGTGTGGTTCGGCGACATCACAGAGAACGGAGAGACACCAGAGAGACACCAGAAAGACACTAGAGAGACCAGAGAGAGAGACCAGAGAGAGAGACCAAATAGACACCAGAGAGACATAAGTGAGAGACCAGAGAGACAAGAGAAAGACCAGAGACACACCAGAGAGAGACCAGAGACACCAGAGAGAGAGACCAGAGAGACATAAGAGAGACACCAGAGAGACAAGAGAAAGACCAGAGACACACCAGAGAGAGAGACCAGAGAGACATAAGAGAGACACCAGAGGTAGAGACCAGAGAGAAGTGCTCCGCTCTGAACGACGACTTTAAGCTGTCTGTTTTGGAGCTTCTTTATAAATCCAGACTCTTAAATCCAGCCCGGAAAAGCCATGTTCCAGCTTCTTCCCTCTGGCAGAAGATATCGTTGGCCGCACAACATCTGGATATGCTAACAGCTTCTCTCCACAAGCTGTTATCAGTCAGAACAAAGCACTTCAATGATCTTGTACTTTTTGGCTTGTTTTATGCATGTACTTGTCTGGTGCACACTGGGGACTCTTGCACATGTATTCCAATGGGGTTTTACTGCAAATGGCAAATGAATATATACTGAATCTGTATATAAATTGTATAAAAAAAGAGCTGGTGTGAATGTGAATGTGCCTCTTCTCTCAGTCGTCTGGTTCCGTGACGCACTGCTCCACGATCTCTCGGAGGTTCGGGTTTTCCATCGCCGCCGCCACTCGCTCCTTATCGTTGATCTGTTTGTTAACTGCAAAAACACATGTGACTTTTAGATTAGTAATTATTCAAGAATTCATCAACTGTTTACGAGGATAGAGTCTAGCCTCAGTCCTGGGTCTACAGCCTCAGTCCTGGGTCTACAGCCTCAGTCCTGGGTCAGTCCTGGGTCTACAGCCTCAGTCCTGGATCTACAGCCTCAGTCCTGGATCTACAGCCTCAGTCCTGGGTCAGTCCTGGGTCTACAGCCTCAGTCCTGGATCTACAGCCTCAGTCCTGGATCTACAGCCTCAGTCCTGGGTCAGTCCTGGGTCTACAGCCTCAGTCCTGGGTCTACAGCCTCAGTCCTGATCTACAGCCTCAGTCCTGGATCTACAGCCTCAGTCCTGGATAAACAGCCTCAGTCCTGGATCTACAGCCTCAGTGCTGGGTCAGTCCTGGGTCTACAGCCTCAGTCCTGGGTCTACAGCCTCAGTCCTGGATCTACAGCTTCAGTGCTGGGTCAGTCCTGGATCTACAGCCTCAGTCCTGGGTCTACAGCCTCAGTCCCGGATCTACAGCCTCAGTCCCGGTTCTACAGCCTCAGTCCCGGTTCTACAGCCTCAGTCCCGGTTCTACAGCCTCAGTCCCGGTTCTACAGCCTCAGTCCCGGTTCTACAGCCTCAGTCTCGGATCTACAGCCTCAGTCCTGGATCTACAGCCTCAGTCCTGGATCTAAAGCCTCAGTCCCGGATCTACAGCCTCAGTCCCGGATCTACAGCCTCAGTCCCGGTTCTACAGCCTCAGTCTCGGATCTACAGCCTCAGTCCTGGATCTACAGCCTCAGTCTCGGTTCTACAGCCTCAGTCTCGGATCTACAGCCTCAGTCCTGGGTCTACAGCCTCAGTCCCGGATCTACAGCCTCAGTCCCGGATCTACAGCCTCAGTCCCGGTTCTACAGCCTCAGTCTCGGATCTACAGCCTCAGTCCTGGATCTACAGCCTCAGTCCTGGATCTAAAGCCTCAGTCCCGGATCTACAGCCTCAGTCCCGGATCTACAGCCTCAGTCCCGGTTCTACAGCCTCAGTCTCGGATCTACAGCCTCAGTCCTGGATCTACAGCCTCAGTCCTGGATCTAAAGCCTCAGTCCCGGATCTACAGCCTCAGTCCCGGATCTACAGCCTCAGTCCCGGTTCTACAGCCTCAGTCTCGGATCTACAGCCTCAGTTCTGGGTCTACAGCCTCAGTCCTGGGTCTACAGCCTCAGTCCCGGATCTACAACCTCAGTCCCGGTTCTACAGCCTCAGTCTCGGATCTACAGCCTCAGTCCTGGATCTACAGCCTCAGTCCCGGTTCTACAGCCTCAGTCCCGGTTCTACAGCCTCAGTCCCGGTTCTACAGCCTCAGTCTCGGTTCTACAGCCTCAGTCTCGGATCTACAGCCTCAGTCCTGGGTCTACAGCCTCAGTCCCGGATCTACAGCCTCAGTCCCGGATCTACAGCCTCAGTCCCGGTTCTACAGCCTCAGTCTCGGATCTACAGCCTCAGTCCTGGATCTAAAGCCTCAGTCCCGGTTCTACAGCCTCAGTCTCGGATCTACAGCCTCAGTTCTGGGTCTACAGCCTCAGTCCTGGATCTACAGCCTCAGTCCCGGTTCTACAGCCTCAGTCCCGGTTCTACAGCCTCAGTCCCGGTTCTACAGCCTCAGTCTCGGATCTACAGCCTCAGTTCTGGGTCTACAGCCTCAGTCCTGGGTCTACAGCCTCAGTCTCGGATCTACAGCCTCAGTTCTGGGTCTACAGCCTCAGTCCTGGGTCTACAGCCTCAGTCCCGGTTCTACAGCCTCAGTCCCGGTTCTACAGCCTCAGTCCCGGATCTACAGCCTCAGTCCCGGATCTACAGCCTCAGTCCCGGTTCTACAGCCTCAGTCTCGGATCTACAGCCTCAGTCTCGGATCTACAGCCTCAGTTCTGGGTCTACAGCCTCAGTCCTGGGTCTACAGCCTCAGTCCCGGATCTACAACCTCAGTCCTGGATCTACAGCCTCAGTCCCGGTTCTACAGCCTCAGTCTCGGATCTACAGCCTCAGTCCAGGATCTACAGCCTCAGTCCTGGATCTACAGCCTCAGTCCCGGTTCTACAGCCTCAGTCCCGGTTCTACAGCCTCAGTCCCGGTTCTACAGCCTCAGTCTCGGTTCTACAGCCTCAGTCTCGGATCTACAGCCTCAGTCCTGGGTCTACAGCCTCAGTCCCGGATCTACAGCCTCAGTCCCGGTTCTACAGCCTCAGTCTCGGATCTACAGCCTCAGTCCTGGATCTACAGCCTCAGTCCCGGTTCTACAGCCTCAGTCCCGGTTCTACAGCCTCAGTCCCGGTTCTACAGCCTCAGTCCCGGTTCTACAGCCTCAGTCTCGGATCTACAGCCTCAGTTCAGGGTCTACAGCCTCAGTCCTGGGTCTACAGCCTCAGTCTCGGATCTACAGCCTCAGTCCTGGGTCTACAGCCTCAGTCCTGGATCTACAGCCTCAGTCCTGGGTCTACAGCCTCAGTCCCGGATCTACAGCCTCAGTCCCGGTTCTACAGCCTCAGTCTCGGATCTACAGCCTCAGTCCTGGATCTACAGCCTCAGTCCCGGTTCTACAGTCTCAGTCCCGGTTCTACAGCCTCAGTCCCTGTTCTACAGCCTCAGTCCCGGTTCTACAGCCTCAGTCCCGGTTCTACAGCCTCAGTCCCGGTTCTACAGCCTCAGTCCCGGTTCTACAGTCTCAGTCTCGGATCTACAGCCTCAGTCCTGGATCTACAGCCTCAGTCCCGGTTCTACAGCCTCAGTCTCGGATCTACAGCCTCAGTCCTGGATCTACAGCCTCAGTCCCGGTTCTACAGCCTCAGTCTCGGATCTACAGCCTCAGTCTCGGATCTACAGCCTCAGTCCTGGATCTACAGCCTCAGTCTCGGATCTACAGCCTCAGTTCTGGATCTACAGCCTCAGTCCTGGATCTACAGCCTCAGTCCCGGTTCTACAGCCTCAGTCCGGTTCTACAGCCTCAGTCCGTCTACAGCCTCAGTCCTGGATCTACAGCCTCAGTCCTGGATCTACAGCCTCAGTCCTGGATCTACAGCCTCAGTCCCGGTTCTACAGTCTCAGTCCCAGTTCTACAGCTTCAGTCCTGGGTCTACAGCCTCAGTCCCGGTTCTACAGCCTCAGTCCCGGTTCTACAGCCTCAGTCTCGGATCTACAGCCTCAGTTCTGGGTCTACAGCCTCAGTCCCGGTTCTACAGCCTCAGTCTCGGATCTACAGCCTCAGTCTCGGATCTACAGCCTCAGTTCTGGATCTACAGGGCAAAGGGTTCGCATGGTCCATCGATGGTGCCACATAGTAGCAGATCAGTAGGTTTTTTGCTGGCAGAGTGCAGCAGAACATGAATTACTCAACCTCTCGAACAAAACACAGTGTCCCGTTCAGAGAGCACAGTCCTCATCCAGGATTCTGTACGAAGCAGAAAGAAGAACGCACAGTGTCGGGACGTTGATGGGTTGTTGCTCCTAACGGCACAGAGACCGAGAGGATGCGAGCCTCCAGCAATTTCTCTCAATCTCACATCCTCCACTTTTGTATCTGACTTTTCTTTTTAGAAATAGAGCGAGCAACCTTTAATTCGGAAATATAAAATAACCTTCACCTGCCGTAAATGCCACAGGAAACAGTATCTTAACACCCATTAGCAAAGTTACTGATCATATCAACTTTATCACAGTCTGTATCTTATCCAAACTTTAGGGTGTTACCAGTCGGGTCTAAACCAGAGATGGCCGCTGCTTTCCTGGTTTGAAGATGTAGGTATTTAACCATGAAGTATCTGACTAATCAGGAGCATGATGCATAATAATAATAAATATCAGATAATATTAATAACAAGATATCTGTAACCGACACTGCTCACTGTGGCTGTAGAAGAGAAGCAGAGACAGAGGCAGAGAGAGAGAGAGACAAAGGCAGAGAGAGAGAGAGAGAGAGAGAGACCAGTGACAGAGAGAAACACAGAGACAGAGGTATAGAGAGACACAAAGGCAGAGAGAGAGAGAGAGAGAGAGAGAGAGACCAGTGACAGAGAGAAACACAGAGACAGAGGTATAGAGAGACACAAAGGCAGAGAGAGAGAGAGAGAGAGAGAGAGAGACCAGTGACAGAGAGAAACACAGAGACAGAGGTATAGTGAGACACAAAGGCAGAGAGAGAGAGAGAGAGAGAGAGAGACCAGTGACAGAGAGAAACACAGAGACAGAGGTATAGAGAGACACAAAGGCAGAGAGAGACAGAGACAGAGAGACAGAGGCAGACAAAGAGGCAGGGGCAGAGAAAGGGAGAGAGAGAGAGGCAGACAATTAAAAGTACTGAAGCTCAAACCAGAACACTTAAAAACTTACTGTCCTCCTCTGTGGAGTGAGTTCCTTCTGAGATGTAGATTTCAAGCTGAAAGAGAAAAAGTGTCAAGTTTGTGTAATTAAAGAGAGAAAAGACAGGGCTTCAACTAGCCTGGTCGTACCACACCATAGTACAAATTACATTTCGTACTAAGGTCTGGAGGTGCTCCATTGAGCTCCGTTTACAGATAGGAAGGGTTAACTTCTTTTGCAGATTGAAACGATTGGATCTGAGTTTACGTCACGTATGTAGTGCGCCCGAGTCTGTCGTTAGCATTTAGCCTAGCCATCTTCTTTGCCGCTAACGGAGCCCGTGGCGAGTAGCGCCACAATTTTTGCCAGCGATTACATTTGCTAAACATTACCCTTGCTCCGGCTTCAATTTCTTGATAGAACCAGGCGCAAACATCAGCCACAACTAACTACAACACCCGCCTCCCGCGCTCATTGGTAGGTCGGTCGAAATTCAACCGATTGTAAGAGGGACTAGACCCAGACGCTACATGCAGTGAAATGATGATTGAGTGGAGTGTACAGATGGATAAGGCCAGGCTAGGCTTCAACAAACAGGGAGTCTAGTGTATGACTCAGAGGTGTCCAAACTTTTATTACTACCCAGCCTCAGTCCTGGGTCTACAGCCTCAGTCCTGGGTCTACAGCCTCAGTCCTGGGTCTACAGCCTCAGTCCTGGGTCTACAGCCTCGGTCCTGGATCTACAGCCTCGGTCCTGGGTCTGCAGCCTCGGCCCTGGGTCTGCAGCCTCGGTCCTGGGTCTACAGCCTCGGTCCTGGGTCTACAGTCTCGGTCATGGGTCTACAGTCTCGGTCCTGGGTCTACAGCCTCGGTCCTGGGTCTACAGCCTCGGTCCTGGGTCTACAACCTCGGTCCTGGGTCTACAGCCTCGGTCCTGGGTCTACAGCCCCGGTCCTGGGTCTACAGCCTCGGTCCTGGGTCTACAGCCTCGGTCCTGGGTCTACAGCCTCAGTCCTGGGTCTACAGCCTCAGTCCTGGGTCTACAGCCTCAGTCCTGGATCTACAGCCTCGGTCCTGGGTCTGCAGCCTCAGTCCTGGGTCTACAGCCTCAGTCCTGGGTCTACAGCCTCAGTCCTGGATCTACAGCCTCGGTCCTGGGTCTACAGCCTCGGTCCTGGGTCTACAGCCTCAGTCCTGGATCTACAGCCTCGGTCCTGGGTCTGCAGCCTCGGCCCTGGGTCTGCAGCCTCGGTCCTGGGTCTACAGCCTCGGTCCTGGGTCTACAGCCTCGGTCCTGGGTCTACAGCCTCGGTCCTGGGTCTACAGCCCCGGTCCTGGGTCTACAGCCTCGGTCCTGGGTCTACAGTCTCGGTCCTGGGTCTACAGTCTCGGTCATGGGTCTACAGTCTCGGTCCTGGGTCTACAGCCTCGGTCCTGGGTCTACAGCCCCGGTCCTGGGTCTACAGCCTCGGTCCTGGGTCTACAGCCTCAGTCCTGGGTCTACAGCCTCGGTCCTGGGTCTACAACCTCGGTCCTGGGTCTACAGCCTCGGCCCTGGGTCTACAGCCCCGGTCCTGGGTCTACAGCCTCGGCCCTGGATCTACAGCCTCGGTCCTGGGTCTACAGCCTCGGTCCTGGGTCTACAACCTCGGTCCTGGGTCTACAGCCTCGGCCCTGGGTCTACAGCCCCGGTCCTGGGTCTACAGCCTCGGTCCTGGGTCTACAGCCTCGGTCCTCGGTCTACAGCCTCGGTCCTGGGTCTACAGCCCCGGTCCTGGGTCTACAGCCTCGGTCCTGGGTCTACAGTCTCGGTCCTGGGTCTACAGTCTCGGTCATGGGTCTACAGTCTCGGTCCTGGGTCTACAGCCTCGGTCCTGGGTCTACAGTCTCGGTCCTGGGTCTACAGTCTCGGTCATGGGTCTACAGTCTCGGTCCTGGGTCTACAGTCTCGGTCATGGGTCTACAGTCTCGGTCATGGGTCTACAGTCTCGGTCCTGGGTCTACAGTCTCGGTCCTGGGTCTACAGTCTCGGTCCTGGGTCTACAGCCTCTGATCTGTTGATGGTTAGGCTGATGTGATTTAGGGCGAGACACAAATACATTGAATCTTCCATTTCTATTATTATGTTTCTTTTGCAAAAAGTAATAGCTCGAAGTCTGTTTCCATCTGTATGTATTTACAAACTTTATCTCCTGTGATGGAACTGATTGTGTCAAAACTGTGCGACTCGGAGACAGCGCCTTGTTCTGCCTCGAATAATAACATTTCCCATTTCCTCCTCAGAGAATTTGAAACGTCAGAGAGAGAGTGCTTTGGGCTCTGTCCCCGTCGTCAGAGTTCTGTGGAAAAGCCTTTTAGTCACGACAACAACAACAACAAAGTCAGAGGGCTACGTGGATCTACACTGTCACAGAATCAGAGACCAGAGAGAGGCTAGAAAGAGACCAGAGAGAGACCAGAGAGAGACCAGAGAGAGACCAGAGAGAGACCAGAGAGAGGGACCAGAGAGAGACCAGAGAGAGGCTAGAAAGAGACCAGAGAGAGACCAGAGAGAGACCAGAGAGAGACCAGAGAGAGACCAGAGAGAGACCAGAGAGAGACCAGAGAGAGACCAGAGAGAGGCTAGAAAGAGACCAGAGAGAGACCAGAGAGAGACCAGAGAGAGACCAGAGAGAGACCAGAGAGAGACCAGAGAGAGACCAGAGAGAGACCAGAGAGAGACCAGAGAGAGAGACCAGAGAGAGGGACCAGAGAGAGACCAGAGAGAGACCAGAGAGAGACCAGAGAGAGACCAGAGAGAGACCAGAGAGAGGGACCAGAGAGAGACCAGAGAGAGACCAGAGAGAGGGACCAGAGAGAGACCAGAGAGAGGCTAGAAAGAGACCAGAGAGAGACCAGAGAGAGACCAGAGAGAGACCAGAGAGAGACCAGAGAGAGACCAGAGAGAGACCAGAGAGAGGCTAGAAAGAGACCAGAGAGAGACCAGAGAGAGACCAGAGAGAGACAAGAGAGAGACCAGAGAGAGACCAGAGAGAGACCAGAGAGAGGGACCAGAGAGAGACCAGAGAGAGGGACCAGAGAGAGACCAGAGAGAGACCAGAGAGAGACAAGAGGGAGACTAGAGAGAGACCAGAGAGAGAGACCCCAGAGAGACCAGAGAGAGGGACCAGAGAGAGACATGAGAGAGGGACCAGAGAGAGGGACCAGAGAGAGACCAGAGAGAGACCAGAGAGAGACAAGAGGGAGACTAGAGAGAGACCAGAGAGAGAGACCCCAGAGAGACCAGAGAGAGGGACCAGAGAGAGACCAGAGAGAGGGACCAGAGAGAGGGACCAGAGAGAGACCAGAGAGAGACCAGAGAGAGACAAGAGGGAAACTAGAGAGAGACCACATAAAGAGACCCCAGAGAGACCAGAAACAGACCAGAGAGAGAGACGAGAGAGAGACCATAGAGAGACCCCAGAGAGACCAGAGAGGGAGACCACAGAGGACCTGAGAGAGACTAGAGCGAGACCATAGAGAGATACTTCAGAGAAAGAGACCAGCGAGAGACCACAGAGAGGGAGACCACAGAGGACCCGAGAGAGACTTGAGAGAGACTAGACGAGACCATAGAGAGAGACCAGAGATAGAGACCAGAGAGGGAGACCAGAGAGGGAGACCAGAGAGGGAGACCAGAGAGGGAGACCAGAGAGGGAGACCAGAGATAGAGACCAGAGAGGGAGACCAGAGAGGGAGACCAGAGAGGGAGACCAGAGAGGGAGACCAGAGAGAGACAAGGGTTTTAATACACAGATGAAAGCTAGGTAGCCCAGCTTTAAGGCAACATGGTTGTTCAGTTGAATCAGTCCATGGTTTCTCCTCCTGTATAAGTTACTAGTTGGATGACATCGTTTCCCGTTGCTCTCGCTCGCCCAGGAGAAGCTATCGGAAAACAAAGGACGAATGAAGTCTGCTGCTCCGGGACGCTGTGGCAGACGTTAGGGCCAGTTGCAAATGAGCAGAGAAAGTCATTTGAGTGGGGATGGGTCCTTCATTTTTTTTTTGTGATCAATTTTTTATTATTATTTTCAAGGAGAGTGCAGGGATGAGTACAGCTCACACACATACAAAAAAACCATCAAAAAACACAAAACAAAACAAAAAATTACAAAACAAAAAATACAAACAAATAAAAACAAAATAAAAACAAATTGAAATAATAATTGAAAAGTAATAATAATAATAAAATAATAAATAATATAAAATAACCATACATTTTCCAGGAAGTGTTAGAATACCACCTATTGAAGCTTTTAGTAGCTTGAATACGTACAATTTAATAAAACAGTACTGGGAAGGAGATTAAATTAGTGTGTAAACAATGACAACAGAGAGAAACAAAAGGGAGCAAGGCAAACCTCATCCCCCACCCCCTACCACCCGCCCCCTAGGACCCGAACCCTCCGCCCCCCCCAAAACCCCCCAACCACCCCGGCCCCGACCTTATGCAGTATGTTAGTCGTCGATATCCAGGTAGCAATAAGTTATTCCTTCTGCCATGAGAAGCCCTACACCAATTTACTCAGTGCTTGGATAATGGTGGAAAGTACTTTGTCCCAGTATTGTATGTTAGTTGGTTTTGCATGATGCATTTGTGAGACCCATTGTTCTAGTTTTACAATATCAACGAAGTCTCTAAGCCACTTTCTCGTGTTGACAAACTGTGGTGTCTTCCATCTGCAAGCAAGTATACGCTTAGCTGCTGTAAGACCAGCCAACCATACACGTTTTTCCATTATATTAAAACCGAGAGTGGAGCTGTCATTGAGAAGTAAAACTTCAGGAGTGCAGGGGATATCCTTCAATAACAAATCGGATAATAGTTTACAGACAGATATCCAGAAATTTTTAACCTCTGGGCAATCCCAAACCATATGGAGAAAGGTCCCTAGTGTATTGTGATTGCAAAGTGTACAGTTAGGAGAGGCAAGTGCCTTCATCTTGAATAAAGTACTTGGAGTGAAATATGTCCTGTGTATAAAGTTAAAATGAATGACCCGATGATTAGGATTTCTTGAGGACAGTTGCATATTC